TCATTAATTGGTTATCTTTATTACAAACATTGGTTACTGATTATCATTCGGATTTATTTCGTTAATTATCATTAATTAATTTTATTGATTAAATCGTTATAAATTCCTTATTACGAAGTTTTCGAAGGGTTTACGGGAAAATTATTTTTTCCTGTTTGATTAGGTGTCTACAGTCCATCAGTGGGACAGGGGATTGTATGTATATTGCTTGATTGTTCTACCCCTGTTCCCACTCTCGCTACCCCCCGTGTTCTGTGATTACCGGGACTTCTCAAGCACCGCATCGGTTCAGTCTGATGTCGACGGAACAGGACACCGGGGCACTGCCACGACGCAGTGCCAGAATCGCAGTTCGTGCTCGCCCTGCAGTACCTCCAAGACCGAAGAAACTCAGCAGGCGGACGACTCCAGCAGCATCAAGTACGGCATTGACGGTACAAGACGCCACCGGAGATCATCCCGCATACCCAGTCCGAGGAGCCAATGAGCCAGCGGCTGATTATCGTCGGCGGCTACTGGCATTTATGGAAGCCGTAGCTGCCGTCGAGGCCCGGAAGGAGACAGCAGAGGCAGAACGTCAGCGGCTAGCCAATGAAGCGGCAGCCGAAGCTCAGCGAACGAYTGAGAYTRAMRCAGHGACACGAGACAGACGGAATGCCAGCAGCACGGAGTCCTTGATTGCTTGTGAGCATCAGTGGACGACGRTACTCCAAGACATGACCTTTGTGCCTACAGAAGCGCAGGCAGACCCGACACCAGCGGAGGCAGAGAGAAGTAACCTGGCTAACTTGCTGCTGGGCATGATGAGAGGTATTATGTGGAATAATACACTGCTGCAGTCACATCTGCGCACGGACGTGACGCAGCGACAAACATACAAGAATGATATGACTACGTTAACAACTGCTATCCGCACAGAGGCAATGCAGCGGCAGCAACAGCATCAACTGTTGAATTCCACTATCACATGCGTCAACAGCATAGAGACTAACGCCTCAGCAGCGCCAGGCTGCACGACAGACGTGACGAAGCAACTCAACGAGAGCATCGATCACGTCGTCACCATCATCGGCGACATAAGTACTTTCAACGGACCAGACTCGATCAGCAGCACGGTGGCCGCCATCAAGACGGACATCACCAAACTACAGACGAGACCGGAAGCCGCTACAAAGACGTTCAAGATGCCGCACTTCGACATCAGCAAGTTCGACGATTACAACAAGTCGGACGCCTTGTCATGGTGGCAACGCTTCCTCACGGAAGCATCATGCCGCATGGTCCCGGCGAACGACATGTTGAAGGCACGATATC